AAAATGATCTCAAAGCATTGAAGATGAGAGCTAGCATGGACCCAAAACGATTTTACAAGAAAAATGATAGAGACGGCTTCCCCAAGTACTTCCAGGTATGAAACCAAAGAATAATTGATCTTCATTTTAGTTTGGAAAGCATGGTAGTGCTCTTACTGCTTTTTTAAACAGATGAATATTTAAATGCATACATTATATGTATGAAGTCTTGGCATGGCTCTGTAGGGTAATGCGCTGGGACCACAAGGTCAATTTAAACCACAGGGTTGGTGGTGGAAACCCTGTGCAGGGTCGCTGTGAGTCAGAACTGACTCAACGGCACTTAACAATAAGCAGCTGTGGGCCTTATGTGCTTAGACCTTACAACAATGGTCAGAGCCCAATTCAGACAGCTGTGCCAGGAACAGAGTGATTATGCATTAGCTGCTAACTGCATGGTCAGTAGTTCTAATATACATTCCTCTCCTTCTGTAAGTATTTACTGCCTCGGAAACCTTATGCAGGGTCTCTTTGAGTCGGAACTGACTCGACAGCACACCATCATCACCAGCTTATAATGAGTTTTCATGTGGTAGGACAGTGTTAGAAGTGGTAACTGGTCAGCTCTGTAAAACTTAAGTGATTCTGTATACCATATACAAATAGTGTCGTCCAGGAGCAAACGCACAGAATGAAAGAGGGGAGAGGGAATCATTTGCACCAGCTACTTCCTCTTTTCAGGGTATTGGGGCATCCAGTTAGAAGTTGACTTTCCATGTGTTCTTAGTGAACGTCCTGTGGATGTTTTCAAATTGCCGTCTGGTAGCTCTCAAATTCATGTATTCTTTTGACTGCCTTTCTTGCTCATCTGGAAGACTATAAACATCCTTTACTCTGCCTTCAAATATTGTAGCCAGTCTTCTGTTTAAGAAAAAGTCTGTTCATGTTATTATTCTGATCAGAAACCATCAGCGATTCTCTCTGAGCTACAGAATAGAGTGTATTTCGCTTAATCTGCACTAAGGTCAGTAGCCCTACTCTTGTCATGTGTCCCTCTTAAGCACCAGTATAACTTAGCTACTCAGCCCTCTCAGAATATGCACATACGAGTCTTTGCATCCTTTCACTTTGCATGTGCTTGGCATGTACTTACTCACCATATTTGCTTGGTGAAATTTTACTCATCCAAATCTAAGCTAAACTTTCATCCTTTGTGAAACCTTCCCTCGTTCTTGTAGGTAGAGTTGGCTGCTTAGTCTTCTGGGCTTCGGTGGGATTTGTTTTAGCATATATTATGTTGTATTCTAATTTTTTGGTTACATGTCTGTTGGTCTTCCTTAAGACTAGCCTCCTCTTCCTTGGCAGGAACCAGTTTTTTTAAGTTTCTCTAGTACTTAACACAATGCCTTGCATATAATAGGCACTCCAGAAATCAGTTGAATGTATGAACAATTGCAGTGATTAACTAAGTAGATACTGATCTGGTAGAATTTATGATAACCTGGGAAATATAGTAGTATAACTTAACGTGCACTTCATTGAGCTGGGACACTAAGCAGGTTAATGCTCTGGGCTGCAAGGTCAGTGATTCAAGCTCACCAGCAGCTCCTCGAAAACCCTAAACAGGGTTACTGTTAATCGGAACCAACTTGACAGCACTTAACAATAAAGTAAGTTTGTATTTTCCATTCTTTTCTGTACATATGCATTATCAGAATTGCCCTGTGTGAATTGCCCTGCAATATGAAAGCAATGTGGCATCCAGGTATTTCTTCTAATTATTCATAGATTGGAACCATTGTTGACAATCCAGCTGACTTCTACCATTCACGAATTCCCAAGAAGGAACGGAAAAGAACTATTGTGGAAGAACTGCTAGCTGATTCTGAGTTCAGAAGGTAAGGAATTTTTAATAATATGTATGCTTAAAAATAAAAATAAATGGAGTCCTGGTGTGGCACTGTACAATAATGCACTGGACCAAAAGGTCGGTGTGAACCACAAGGTCAGCGGTTCAAACTTGTACCAGCTGCTCGTCAGAAACCTTGCTATGAGTTGAAACCAACTTGACGGCACTTATCAACAGTGCTTAAAAATATACACAGTTTAAAAATTTCACGTAACTAGATGTTTTACAGCTGAAATTCTCAGCACTATCTCAACTTTTGATCAGATAATTCTTTTTTAGAGAACCTCTCCTGTCCAGTATAGGCTGTTTTCATCCAAAAATGTCTCCTGGGGGACAAAAGTGCTTCCAGTTGAGAACTTTGCTTTTGCAGGGAGTAGGTTGAAAATATTTAATGTACTGGTCGGAGAGTAATCCTGCACAGGAATAACCAAAATCAGGAGAACACAGTGTCATAGAAGTCAACGAGAATACTGTAGTATTTGTAAGCAAGGTGTGGTGTGTTTAGCGAGGATAAGTGCTCCTCAGAGGTCAGATCAGACAAGGACTAAACTTGCTTTGCGTTTAGTTCCATGGAGGTCACAGTAGATTTGGCAAACTGCACTTTAGTGTAGTGATTGGGAGGAAGTCAACCTAGGGAGACACACAGGGTGGGAGTGAGTTGAAATTGGAGACAACTTTGTGAAGTTTGGTTATGAAGGAAAAGAAAGAGGCAGGGATTTGGAGGAAGTTTAAGTTGGGAGAAATCGAAGTATATTTTAAATGCCTTTGAAGCAGCTGTATATATGTTTGGAGAGAGTTTTTAAAAAGCATACATCATATAGAAGCCTGTTGACTTTCTAACTGATAGAAAAGCAAAGATGAAAATACTCAAAAATTTTAAACATAATATAGTTTGTATCACATGGAAAACATTGGACCCTGGTTATGTAAATTATTTAATGAGTCTGGGTAATGGTAAAATATTTTAGAAACAGCCCTCTTTTCCCATTCAGTACTCTTTCTTTGAAAATCCTATCTTCATAGGACTTTAATTATAATCTATATACTGTTGAGCACCAGTTGTATAGCTCTAGTCCAGATCTGGGGAACACGATATTCTGTAGGACCAGCACTGGACTGCAGCAAAGCACAAGGTTGGTGGTGGGAGCTCACTGGGCATTCTGCAGGAGAAAAAATGAAGCTTTGCTCCTGAGAAGATTTCCAGCCTCAGAAACCATACATAGGGTCGCTATGAGTCGGAACTGACTCAGTGGCATTTAACAACAACAGTCCAAATTCAGAGTCCAAACCCATATATTCACCTGCCTTTCAGAAGCACCTCAAAGTCAGCTAACTTGTGGTCTCTCCTGGACATCCTCTACATAAAATTTAGCCCTCTCCCAATGCTCTCTTGTAGGTGAATGGCATCAACACACATTTGTTAGGGAAATTCTTGACACCCCCTTTTTCTAAATCGCATATTCAGAACACCTGCATAACTCAATCTAGTTTCTGTCCATCACCACAGAGGCGTGATGTAAGCTGATGGCGTGTTTGCGTCCTTCATTGAGTATTTGCTTACTTAAGTTTTGGCCATTTGTTATAAATAAAAATTGGCCAACATATCATTTATGATTGACATTTTTACAAGCTATAGCAGTGTTGTGAAGTGCTTTGCCCAAAGAATAATCTCAAGATAAGGACTTTGGGGCAGTAATAGACATTTAGTAGAATGAAGTTCAAAGTTGGAGGTAATGGTCATCTATCAGTTCATTGTTTCCCATACGTCATTTGAATATCACTTTCACAGTGCTTACCTTATATGTATACCACCTACTGTATTTTTCACAGATAACTTGCATATGCCAGTAACATGCGTAGCATACAAGGAGTCATGGTTTGTAAAATGAATAACATCCATGCATTATTTGTGTAAAAACATGGTACTTTATTTTAAAAGGAAACCATATTGCTGCAATAAATGCGTTTGTTCTATTTATATTTTTTTGTCACATAAAGTTAAATGCATTACTTAAAATGAACATTGTCTTTATCACCTAAATTTACTCCTCTCTGTTGTAAAGTTGTAAATGGCATAAATGACATCTGTTATAAAGAGGCTAGTAAGTTAATCCTCAGTAATATGGTAGCTGGTTGGAGTTTTATGTATAAGACACAGTGAAAGCTCTAGACATTTTATACATCTAAGTAGTTAACTGTACTGCTGACAGCCTGCTTTTACTAAAACTTGTAGCTCTGCTATATTGCTACTTTTCTGCAGTGAATTGTACTTCTATATTTCCAAAGTCCAAGGAGGAAAGAAGTCTATAGTACTGATTCTCTTCTCTCTGGTTACCTTTAGACTCCTAAAAATTATTGATGGCCCAAAAAATTTATTTTTTTGGATTGCATCTATTGATAGTTACCACAGTGAAAATTAACATTTTTGAAAGGTGTTTCTAATTTTTAAGAAACTAAAAAAATATTAATTTAGAAATTTCAAACCAATCATATATATATATATACTTTTTTTTTTTTTTAATGAAAACAGCAAAACTAAAAATGATTTAGTGCAAATCTCTTTAATGTGTGGCTTAATTAAAGACCATGAAACCCTGCATTGATTTCTGCATTCATTTTACTGGCCTTGGTGTGCTTGTGAAATGAGTTTTTACCTAATGGGCCCAGGAGGGTTCTTAGGTCATATTTTGAAAAACTACTGGTGTAGGTTGTTTGTTTAAGGTTCTTATAAATAGTGAGGGACCTTTTTAAGTCCATGGAAAAATGTCATTAAGAGATCATGGAATTTTGTCCATGAACTTTTTGAAATCTCTTACATATCATGTTTTCAGGTAAATGTAAACTCTTTGTTTGGTCCTTGTTTTTATATTTTTAATCAACAAAAATGTTTACTGCATTAGATAGCATCTGGTATGTCTGCTGTGCAGTGGCTATAGTACACGGCCCTCTACTGGCTACAGAAGTCCTCTCTATTTCTAATAGCCAGGCTCCATGAGTGCAGAAATTACCCTGCCATCAGCAACTCTGAGTATGGTTCCTAACACATGGTGGCATCTTAATTCATATGTGAGGAAATAATGAAAATATAAAAGTGTCTGAGGTTTAAAGGTTGTATTAATTTCTTCCTAATACCTAATGTTTCATACTTTAAAGATTAAACGTTTGATTTTTCTTTTCAGATATAATCGAAGGAAATATTCAGAGATCATGGCTGAAAAAGCAGCAAACGCAGCAGGAAAGAAATTTCGAAAAAAGAAGAAATTTCGCAATTAAGATAAACCAAGAAAACGACAAAATTTTGTTTTCCCTTTATTTACTGAAGATGTTTTGAAAACTAGCAACATACATTAAAGTAGACTGGTCCTATTTATATAGGGATTTCTGATTGGAAAAAAATGTTGATCTGAGATAATTATATGACATAGAATAAATGTATATGACATAGAATAAATAAATAAACCTACAAAAGACCCATCTAGGCTTAAGACTTTCAAGGGGGAAAAAGGAAAAAGAAACTTAGTCATTTAAAAGAAGATATTTTTATAGTTTGTGACTTGGTTAATGAAAACAGAATTAAAAGATACTTAAAGTATAAAGTTTGCATTGTGTTCAGAGAACTTTTTTAAAATAGATTCACAAACAACATTGCAATCAATAATGTAGTGTGTGTGTGTGTGTGTGTGTACACACATGGAGGAAGCCGTGGTGGGCAGGAATTGCCCTGTTAGTCAGCTGCAAGATTAGACCCAGAAAGTGGTGTGGTAGGGATATAGAGATCTGCTTGTTACCCTGTACAAACATTACAGTTGAAACCAAAGGAATATTTAAAGTGTTCTTAGAGATAGGGTAAGCATAAGATTGAAGAGTTAAATGAAGCTTAAGGAGTGTAAAATAGGGCTTAGAAGATAAAGACGACCACCTGGAAAGTTTGGGTTCAAGGTAAAAATCTGGAAAGCTATTTTCCTTCTATGGTAACTGAGCCAGGACTACGTGATTTTTCCAGATTCAGTGTTATGTTCCAAGGGAAATAGGATTAAATTGATGAGATTCTGATTTGATTGGGAGGTAAAGAGGTTCATCCTCGTCTCTGTGGCACAAGTATATGCACCCTGGCTCAACTACCTTTCTGGTACCTAAAACGTGTTGGTCATTCCCATTAATGCCTGGTTGGTGGTGGTTTTCATTTCTTCATTCACTGAATCTCTGTTTTCCCAATATAATACTTACTCAGTTTTAGAAAACAAGACATCTTAAATTGTATATTTAGTTCTTGGGATCACAGAAGACCTAGGAATTGCAGAACTGACTATGATAGAGGTAGAGTGAGCATCTGTTCTCTTTGATACTGGGTAAACTGGTATGATAGACTTAAATAGCAAAATAGGAAGAAGAAAGTTAAATTACCCTTCATACATTCTTCCAGGAGAGGTCAGCAGAACCAGAACATTGCCTCAACTTCAGAGGGATTTCAGAAAGTTACAGAAAAAACTTCACTATCTTTTCATTCTATTTTCCACTTAACTTTTTGAAGCCCCTTGTATGTGAAGGATGTGAGATATTTTCATTTGTCATTTGTTCTGTAAAATGTTGCTCCGCAGAGATCACTGAGAACTGACTCAGTTATTCTCTTAAGTTCAAGACTGGGCCAGCTTCTTACCTGCCCTGGGACTGTTATGCAGCTTTCTGACATGTGGATACTAAACAGGCTGAATTAATAAACCTGAAAGCCTGCAGTGGTGACAACATTGAAATAAATTTTTGAGCAGATAACAGTATGAGCTGCATCAGGGATATTCTTAACATTAGAACATAAAAAATAATTTTAATATTCTAGTACATTTCTACGTAGAAAACAACTTGTTGTTGTTGTTAAGTGCCATCGAGTCGGTTCCGACCCATAGCGACCCTGTACAGGGTTTCCGAGGGTGTAAATCTTTATGGGAGTAGAAAACCTCATCTTTCTCCCACGGAGCAGCTGGTAGTTTTGAACCACTGACCTTAAGGTTCGCAGCCCGATTCGTAACCACTACGCTACCAGAGCTCCTATTTTTTCCTAAATTTTTCCACACAAATTGGTTGACAGGGATGAGTTCTAGGCTTTACATATTATGCTCACACATAAGATAGAAACAAGCTTTCGAGAGAATAGTACCATTTCTGTTGAGACCTGAGGACTTTCCTCCAATGGGTTCCCATAACAAGGATGCTAGACTAGAGGTCATCCTTGACTGTTCATAGGATAAATTGTAGGGTTTTTAAAAAACATCCTGAAAAAAAAGGGAAAATGTTAGACTATGGGAAAGTTTAATAAAACTAAGTATATGAGAGGAATTCCTGGGCTCTCACTTTAAAGAAATAGCAAGTTACAAGAAAAGATCGTAAGAAAGAAAAAGTCTGACACCATTTCTGGGACGGTGCCATGTACTTGTTCAGTGTCTCAGACAATGATAACGTTTAAAGTGACTACAACAGGATTATGAACCATAAAACGTATCAATTGTTTAACAGAATTGTGCTACTTAAGTGAGATGATAAATGCTTTTTGGTGTCCTAGTATGGCACTATAGGATAAGCACTGACTGTTTACCACAAGGTCAGCAGTTCAAACCTACCAGCTGCTCCTTGGAAACATGGGTTACTAGGGGTCAGAACTAACTCCATGACACTTAACAACAATGCCTTTTACATAGTGATAGTTGAAACAAAAGGGCCTTCTGAATTAATTCCCTAAGAATCTGACTAAAATGTAAAATCAAGGTCCTATTAATACACAAAGGAGCTCTGGTAGCTTACTGGTCAGCAGTTTGAAACTACCAGCTGCTCCACGGGAGAAAGATGAGGCTTTCTGCTCCTGTAAAGATTTACATCCTCGGAAACCTTGTACAGGGTCACTATGAGTTGGAACCAACTCCACGGCACATAACATTATTATTACACAATGGAATACACATGTTTATAGCTTTATAAGTGAAGAAGGAATGCTTTCAATTTAAAAAGTGAAGAAATTATTCCAATTTTAGTTTCCAATAAGCAGGGTCAAAAGCATGAGCTGCTATTAAATGTCATCAGTATATGAGTGCATTTGAGTCCACTCACGTTATCTGTAAATGTCCTTGGAATTAGGGGCAGTGGAAGAAGGCTCTAAAACAGAAGGGCTATCAATACATACTGAGCAACTCAGAATAGTAGGAATCGACTTGACGGCACTGAACAACATTCTAGGTTATGCATGTGATGTTTGTTCAGTTGTCTTTTAAAACAAATTATCCTAAACATGACTTAAACACTTATTACAATGTTTTGTAGGTCAGGAATTGAAGCAGGGTTTGAGGTGGCGATTCTTGGGCTCCACAGTGACAACTGGGGTCACTATTCATCTGGAAGCTGAGCTGGAGGGTCCAGACACTTCCTTCGCATGCTTGACCCCTTGTAACATTTTCTTTAAAAGGTGTGGCAATTGAAATTTCTCTTTTAATGGTATAGCATAGAAATTGCCAAAAGAACAAAATACAGCCCACACATTTTTATATTTACGTGTCACTGAATGCTCACATGGTTAATCAGGTTTGACACAGTATTCGGGAAGTTCACTGGTACTTGAAATTGTTCAAAGGTCAAGATTCTGAACTCTAACTGCCCCAGCCTGTTTTCTGCTGGCACTCCTTAGAGTTCCCTCTCACTCAGCCTTAGCTGCACTTTTAAAAACATATTTTATTGTGTTTTAGATGAACATTTACAGAGCAAATTAGTTTGCTATTGAGCAGTTTATACACAGATTCTTCTGTGACACTGTTTACCATTTTCACAATGGATCAGCATTCCCATTTTCCACCTTGGGTTTCCTGCTTTTGTTTGCCGTTTTCCTGCCCTTTCCTGCCTTCTTAATTTTGCTTTTGGGAAAATGTTGCCCTTTTGGTCTTTAGATTGTTGATGATTGTGAGGAACATGTTCCTCCGGGGTGTTACTGTTCACTTTATGTTGCTTTAAAGTGCTGTTGAGTTGGTACTGTGTAGGGTTTCCAAGGAGCAGCTGGTGGGTTTGAACCACCAACTATGGTACACAATGCAGTGCTGATCCTACAGTGCCACACCAGGAGTCTGTTCACTTTATAGACCTGTCTTTTATATGCTTGAAAGGTAACCTTCAAGAGTGGCTTCAGTTCTAGGTGGTTGTTGTTGTTAGGTGCCATCAGGTTGGTACCAAACATAGCGACCTTATGCACAGCAGCAGAACAAAACACTGCCTGATCCTGGGCCAACCTCACTACTGTTGCCACGCTTGAGTCCATCGATGCTGCCACTTGGCCAATCCATCTTGTTGGGGGTCTTCCTCTTTTTCTCTGACCCTCCACCTAACCAAACATAATAACCTTCTCCAGCAACTTGTCTCTACTGACTATGTCCAAAGTATGAGAGACGAAGTTTGGCCATCTTGGCCTCCAAGGAGCACTCTTGGCTGCACTTCTTCCAAAACAGATCTATTGGTTCTTTTGGCAGTCCATGGCACTTTCAATATTCTCCTCCACCACCACTGCAACACCATTCCTCTTCAAAGTGTCATTTCCAGCATAGTAAACCATGTGGTCATCAGATTCAAAGTGGCCAATATCAGTCCATTTCTGCTCACTAATGCCTAAGATACCGATGTTTATGCATTCCATTTCATTTTTGACAACTTCCAATTTTCCCAGATTCATACTTCATACATTCCGTGTTTCTATTTTCAATGGATGTTTGCAGCTGTTTCTCTTCATTTTGAGTTGTGCCCCATCAGCAAATGAAGGGCCCGCGGGCTTTTCTCCCACGGGCTTTACTCCATTCGTGACATCATGGTCAACTCTACTTTGAGAAGGCAACTCTTCCCAGTCGCATTTTGAGTGCCTTCCAACATGAGGAGCTCATTTTCCAGCACTATATCGGACAGTGTTTCTCTGCTATCCATAAGGTTTTCAGTGACTAAATATTCGGAAATAGTTTGTCACTCCTTCTTCCTAGTCTGTCTTCGTCTGGAAGCTCATCTGAAACCTGTTCACCATGGGTGACCCTGCTGGTATTTAAAACACCGGTGGCACAGCTTTCAGAATCACAGCAACTCAACAAGCCACCAGAGTATGCCAAACTGACAGACGAGTGGTAGAGTTCTAGGTTAGAAGGGGGCTTAATGGCCATATTCTCAGGAGTTCCACTGGTCTTTATCAGTGAGGTAAATTTTGTTCTGCCTTTTCCTTCCACTCTATCTGGTGCCGTCTATTGTGATCCCAGCCAGAATGGTCA